CACCGGCCGTATCACATGTTGTCGATTTTGTTCACTCGCCCATATTCGTTGGCCCGATCTCGGCAATACGAGCACGCAGCATTCAAGGTGATGCTCAGGAACCACTGACCACTGCCGCATTAGCGGGAGAAAAATCTGAACAGCTTCCATTAAAGGATATAACCAAGAATTTAAAAAAAGTAAGCCCTGCGCAAGCGAAGGAAGAAATTGAAAAAAGCTCAGACTATGGCAAATTATTGGGAGCCAATGCATTAAAAGAAGAAAAAAATCTATCGGATGAAAGTGAGGCAAAAAAAGAAAGTAAGGCTAATAAATTCAATCACTCTTTGTATTAATTTATTTATGTATGTGCTTTCCAGAGCTTCCGGAGGATAACAGTAACAAATTTTCTGATATTCCAAAGGGGGGCCTTTCTCAAGCTCCTTTACCAGCTCTGCCTTCTAAACTTAAAAGCGGGTCTTCTGACGACGTAAATATAAGCGACGATCATAAAGAGGCTACCAAAGGAGCCCTCTCCGATCCAGAGCCTCAGCCTAAAATTGCTTAATTAATATTGCATAGAAAACATCATCAAGCAAGAGGAAAGATAAACCCAAACCGAGTACTCAATACCTTAACAAACTGTGGAAAAAATGGTAACTTTTGCTGAGCCACAGTTAAATTCATCTAGGCGACCGTACTAACATCATAATATTCCTATTTTATCATACTAACCTACACATACTCTTGAAAAATTAAAGCGGGTAAAATTACTCGAAATGCAAAAAAAAAAAAACTTGTCACCGTAAGTTCATCATCATTCATAACCATAAAATATAACAGAACAATAAAAATACAGAACAAATGTGTTTGCGTGTATTTCTGCGTATGTATGTAGTTCCGAGGGGTTTTCTCAAGGACTTGATGCTGCTTATAAGCAGACTTCAAGCGTTAACGGTATATCGTCCCATTTCTGCGTTAATATTGCATCTGCAACCAAGTCAGCTTAGAGATCGTAAAAGAAAAAAAATATAGTCAACAATTTTATTTAGCTTGAGGGCGTTTTTAATGAAATCTCTTGCGGAAAAAACAACAATCTCCATTTTGGTAGAAGTTCTAACTGCTATTTCACCACATCTCCTAATCAGACTTCTTCAACTGGGATTCGATCCAACAACCCCAGCCGCCTAAGCCCAAGTAGTCTTACCCATTGAGCTACATAAAGCATTGTTCACTCAAAAGCGGTACGCGTTCCAGCGATTCCTGTACAGCAATTGTTTCAATGTATTAAAAGGTTGCAATGCAGATAGAGTTAGACAATACATCTACCATTATGGGGTTTAAATTTCATAGTGCTGGCTTTTGATTTGACAGTTTTATTCGCGTTGGAAGAGGCTGCTCAAAAAATAATGTTGAACGAATTCGTTGAAAATCCGACATCCCCGAGATCACAAATCAAATTAAAATTAAATATACCAAAACCTTCTAATTTTCCTCAAAAAATCAATGAGCGGATTCCTTCTGCTTAAACTAACAGAGTAAGCTGATCATGAAAAACAATCATTGCGCACCAGTTTAAGGATAAGGCTCTTTACCTCAATTATAAAAAAAATTGGCTTACCAGAAGAAGATCGCGCGAGAGAATTGGAAAACGATTATCCACAGTTCAGCGAATGGAAGCTATGGCAAGACTTAAACCTTATTGAGTTATCTTCTATATATAAATACGCCACAAGAAAATTTTGCAATCCCTTTTTTGAAGGCACCGTTCGCTCGATTTCAATGAAACATACACCGATTTAAAGGATATAACTTCCTCTAATCCAGAATTGTCAATCCCGATATATAAGGGGCGTGGCATCTGACATATCGACTAAAATGTGAAAATCACTATATCTCTAAAACGAATTTTGCTGGGGAACTGAAACTTAGCACAGATGAATAAATTGTAAATACCCTACTTACAATGAAAAATGGTAGGTACTGGGAAAGTGGGCGTGCCATCTCTATACAAACTGAAATTCTCTTATCGGTCATCTCTCTAACCGCCTATTCTGACGTCCTGAAATTTGACACGGCAACATATGTTGTCAATACCGTACTTGCGGACTTATTTACAGTCTGAATTGTTCGACATATTAGTCAGTGGTGAACATCTCATCTATACATACAAATACATAGGCATATTTTTTATAAATGAAAATCGAGGTTCCTGTTTTGGTCTATTTTCAGAAGCTACTGAGGAGGAGACTTGCTAGAATTAGCATTAACGTTCATAATTCGATTTTAAGTTCTCCTGTAAATTCGCTATAAATTATGCTGGTGGACTTCAATATAGTAATTCGCATAAAGGATTTGGTATTGGTGACAGGGTAAATTCAAAAGGGTATGAAAAAGGATGTCGAATTTCGACAACTGGGCGATACTAGTATTATATAATTCTGTTAGATTAAATAACCACACCCGTTTACTTTACCCCAATGTTCACACCAAATGTGGTATTTTTTAGTAATGACTAAAAACATGTTTAAAACTTGACTTCGGTCAACTCCCACGATAAAAAGTTTAAGCTAAAAAGAAACAGGGTGATATCCTCTTAAAACTAAATTTATAGAAGTTGACACAGCTCAATACGAGTACACCACCTAAGGTCACAAACCTTAGCTCATCACTGCTGTGATTTATACTGCGCCTCAAAGTTTGCTGCTGCAACAGATATGCCGCTACCAGTGTTGCCATCCTTTGATTTTCAAAAAGCACCAAAAACTTGGAAAAAAGCGTTTTACCACACTAAAAGCACCAAATTTTTTTGAATCAAGGGATGCTTTTTTCATAACATAATACCGAAGTACTGCACATTAAAACTGGTATATCTCGAGAAAGAAAAATCGAATCGCATCAAACGAAAATGATGCCCTAATTAGAAATGAGCAAATAATTTGATGTTTCCATTATATAACCTCAAATATCGCTAAAAATCGTGTTTATGGCACTTTGAGGTTAGGATATCTCAAAATTCTAGTGCTAGAGCATTTGTGAGGCCAGATTTGGATTCAGCACCAAGAAACGATATGTTTTACTAAGGTGCTCAAAAAAACAAAATTTGTACAAATAATTAGAAAAGAAAAAACAAATACTTAACTTACTTGCGTACTAGCATTTTCAACGCGAATAGAATTTAACAAGGTGGGTTTGCAACTTCAGCTTTTTATCAATNACGTTAAAAAGTTTAAGCTAAAAAGAAACAGGGTGATATCCTCTTAAAACTAAATTTATAGAAGTTGACACAACTCAATACGAGTACACCACCTAGAGCCAGAAACCTTAGCTCATCACTGCTGTGATTTATACTGCGCCTCAAAGTTTGCTGCTGCTGCAACAGATATGCCGCTACGACACAAATGTTTAAGTTTTTGTGTAATTTTGCGGCGTACTCGAAATTACAACTGTGATGAGCTAAATTCTGTGACTCTGTTGCAATGGAAGGGTTAATATCATATTCGTCATCAGTCACCTCGAGGAGCACTATGCACATCAAAATCAGTCAAATTTGTACATATTTATGAAGTAAACGCATTTGTCGTGCTAGATCCTGAATTCACTCCAATATGCGGCTTACGAAAAAGATGCTCTATTTAATGAAGGAGGAATCGGTGGGCCGAGTTCTTGACATTTTTACATTAGCCAGTTATTGGAGTTTCGAAATATTGAAGATAAACTGTTGTACTCGATGTAACTTTTTTTATAACTTTTACTAATAATATAAAAATTTCAAAACTTTTTTAATAAAAAATGGCTTTTATCAAATATGTAATATAACTAACTATTCTTCAAACAACTATATTATTAACAAAAATAGCAAAAGAAAGTGCATACTTACCTGACGCCTCACTACCCATGTTGACAAAACTGTTATTTATAAATAAGAATCAAATGACAAGCGAAATTATTTTATCACCACTTAAAAGAAAAGACATTAATTCGACGAGTGAAAGAAAAGCCAACTTTGCGCTTTTGCTAAAGCTACTGCGTTGCATTAAAAGTCAAAAAATTTCTATGTTACATTGTGGACTGGTTTATAAAGTGTATTGCAAAGTTATGTGTGACAAGGATTAAGGAATTTAGTTTTTTATATTTTTGCCGTCGTATTGAGTCACTTTGTCCTTATGTGCACCGTTCGGAGTCGGCGTAAAACGGAGAAGCTCGGCCAAATACTAACGTATGTGTAAGCACCAATCTATTACACTGCCCAGCAAAATTCTGTTGAGTAAAATATTGTAGCCGATCCTTATAGGATTTCCCCCATAGATTCCGAATCTGACATTGGATTGGTTCTGGTTTTCGAGCAACTTAGGTTTTTAGACATTCAATAGTTCTTATCTGAGCCTGCATAATACTGAAATGGCATGTAATAAATGTGTTCATAGAGTTTTGAGCGTTTTGATTAATCGTAGAAAATTATATTGACCTCAAAAGGGAAGAACTCATCTGCTTACGTGTAAT